AAATTATTGATCCGAGATGGGCATATTTCAGAGAAGTTGGGCCGATTTGATATCATACTCCTTTAAAGCGATGGATCCAATAAACGTGTTCAGGTCATCATACCTTATAGGTATTTATTTATTTATTTATTTTTTTTTTGTGAAAAAAGTTGGGATGTTTGGTATATTGCATGGGCATGAAAGAGAAAATTGGGCCGTTTTGATATCATTTCCTTTTATATGATGAATCCAAACGGTACTGCTATCATATTTTTTGGGTGCCTGGTTTTTTTTTTGTTTTTTTTTGTTTTTGGTAATTAGTGACATTTTTTGGATTGGGCCGAAATTTTGTACAAAAATCATATTTTTGTTTTTTTGGAAGTCACCTATACATGAAATTTAGAGTTGGGGGAAAAATAGCTACGAGAGTGGTTATTTGAAGGGTTTTATTATGCTTCTTTATCAAAGTCTATGGAATAGAGACAGAGTTAGTGGCCAGGCATAAAATTTTCAAGTATATTTAAGGAAAAAATATTATTAATTTTAGGTTCGGATTTTGTTGCAAATAATCGCATTTCAAATCATTTCAATCCAAAAAAAAAAAAAAAAACATCCTTGATAAAATCTAAAAATTATGAAGACAAATGCAATGTTTTTTACTACTTTGCCTGTAATTTTCCTTTTTTTGGTATACGCAAAGCATAAAAGACGATTTTTTCCAGCTTCAGGGACGAAGATAAAAATGTACATATGCACTAGGGTTCCACATTATGTTTTCATCCTTAATTTTGGAATCTCACTTATATCTGCCGTCACAAAAGAAGTAAAACAACAACTCACACAACATCGCATTCTACCAGATGTCATAGAAGTGTTTCCAACATCAGTTATTCACGTGAGTTTTTGCCAATCTATATGATTTAGATATCGATAAAAAAAATTTAAATTGTGAAGAAATATGACGGTCTACTTAGCCAGCAAGACCTTTTAGCATGTTGAGCAGTTTTTAAACATTCTTAAGCATGTCTGGCCCCCTAGACCCCTCTCTCACTAGATTCACCTGCGAATTCGAGGATTGTCGATTCCCTTCCTCCCCTATCCAGTTCAAAGGTCCATTTTTGATGCATTTTGATACTTCTATGACGCAAATTTTCATTGAAGACCGGAGGATTCGTCACGCTTAAAATAATTTGAAACTCATTGATTCTAAAAAAACATCCTGATTCCTCTCTTCTAAACCCGGTCTTGTCTGGTGCAGTAGTACAATGTTTGTCCATTGAGGAGGTATGACGCAACGACAATGTGTAAATATATATTGATACCATACGTGCGAAGAACAAGAACCATTTATTATTAAACTTTTCTCTTCATTTCGTCCTATGCAATACAAATATTTGGGATTCCATCGCTGGCTCCAATTCTTAGGGGTAAGGGGNGGGGGGGGGGGGGGGGGGGGGTAGATGATACAAACATCGAATTCTTCTAAAATTTCTTTCACAATTTCTGGCTCCTTAGTAGCTACGCCTATGCATTACATATCGACGGTGAAACAACCAAACCACGTATCTCGTTTGCGGCGTTTAAAAATCTACGCTCACATTTTCTTTTTTTGAAGTAGACCAAATCAATATCATTCCTTGAAATTTTCACAGAATTTTCTCCGCACGAAGAGGAAAAATCACAGAAATTTTCAAGACTGGACGTTGAGTAGTTTTTCATTTAAAAAATAAAGTATGACAGGAAGTCTGCGACGTCGCAAACCGAGATACGTGGTTTGGTAGTTTCACCGTCGATATGTTGATTGTTGAAAGTTCCAAAACCATATTGATTTGTTCGTGTTTTAAATTGATCGTCGCCATGTCTGTCTACTAAAAAAACATATCAAGGGTTAATGAAATGAAAAAGTTCCTATATTTCTTGCTAGGAGGGTAAAAATGGTCTCTTGTCTGTCTTAGAGGTTTGAAAACTCAGCCTTTCTACAACCTCTGACGCATAGGTATCTACAAAATCAGTTTTTAAATATACTTAGATTATTTTTCCTGTAGATGGTATTTTTTCAATTTTTCCCCCATTCTCAAAAGATGCATTTAAATTGGTAGCCTAACCGACGTTTGCCCGTTTGACTAAAAAATTTGATAGATTTTAGGTCGAATATGAACAGCAAGCATTGAAAATTGCTGAGTTATTGAAATTAGATCAAGTCAAAACTAAACCGTCCGTCTCTTGGCCAGCAGCCCCGGATGCTCTGTACACACTGATAATGACAGGTAAGATCTGTTAATTTTATTAGATATAAACAACTTAAAGTGAGATCTTTATATCAAACGTTGATGGGAGAACAAACAGAAAAAATCTAACTGATCGAATGGTCATTCGTGAAAAGCAAAATTTTTTCCATCATGAAAACGACTAGCCTTGGATTGAATGATATTGCATTCAAATCAAATTAATATTTATCAATGTTGTGAATATTATTTAGTTTATAAAATTCGTCGCCCATTCCGCTTATTTTTTACTCCCTCATTTTAAATATTCCTTTGCGGCTCAGACGTTGTGGCTCAACTAATTGAGAAAAAAATGAAAGAGAGGGCGGTCTGGAAGTCAATGGAAACTATATCGCTAAGACTGGGCGTTAGAGGTCATGTCCGATTTTAACCTATAATACTACACGAACTTTTGTTTACTTTACATAGATGCTGATTATCCTGCGCCTAGTGCACCAAGCAGAACCGAATTTCTTCATTGGATGATTATAAACATGGAAGGCTCAACGTTGGACGTTTCAAATGCTGAAACAACAGTAGAATACTTGGCACCCTTGGCAAACTCAACACCAGGTAAGAATTTTGAAATTTTTGCCTGGTCAAATTATTTTACTATTGATCAGGGCCGGATTAAGGGGGTGGCCACATGGGTCGCGGCCCATGGCGGCAAATTTAGGGGGCGGCAAATTTTGCAATTTTTTTAAATTTGGGTAATAAAAAAAATCGGATTCAGAAAGAAAAATTATCAATGAGAAAAGGGGACAAAATCTCTCTTTCCTGAGAGTATAGTAATTTCTAATTTTATCGTTTTTCGGTGATAAAAGAGACAGCATCTTTAATTAGTAGAGTTAAGAGAGGAACTAAACACTCAATTTGGCCTGATGTTCAGCGCAGAGAGGAATGATGACGTGGACCTGAAATGAAAAGAACAAGCCCTCGGCACGGCGGTCGACATGTAACACATATTAGCGCCTACAAGACTGCATGAATACCTTACCCATTGCGTCAAACACAGTGCGGTCAGGAGTTGTTGGCGTGAAACGCGTAGCGCCTACAAGACTGCAGGAATACTTCACACATTGCGCCAAACACAGTGCGATCAGCCCGGCGCAGCGGCGAAAGTTAGATATGTTTACAACTTACCTTTCGCGCAAAGTTCCGTGAAATTTTGCTCGTAGTGTTGACAGGGCTTTCGCAAAAAATGTATTCAATACGAGAAGCAAACGCGTCTTATGCACCCCTCTTCCTCCGGCACGTTCACTTGATGGTTTTTATTGATGTTTCAAAACGAATGAAAAGGGGCGGCAAAATACAGGCGGCCCATGGGCGGCAAGTAGGTAGATCCGGCTATCTGCTATTGATCGTAAATTAACATTTTCCGCTTTCTTCAAAAATTCAATGTACTTCAGAATGGACGAGGTAGCCTTTCAGAGCCATGTGTTGCAGTTCACATCTTGTTTCAGTATGATAAGACATACTGAAACGAATATACAGAACAAGACTTGTTCTATTTTCTGATCCACGTATTGTTCTTACGAACATTTTGAAAGCACTGTTACCCGCTGAACGGTTATTTTTTGTCATGCTCCAGGATGTCACCGATACGTTTTCACAGCATATAGACAAGGGAGCGAGGAGATACTCGATGACTTTCCGCTTCTCGACACAAAGTAAGTCATGATCCACCCTTCATGATCCATGCTTTGCTTCCACGTCTCGAATAATACGAAATTATCATGTGTAAAAGGTATTTAGGTATGAAAAATCTGAAGTATCAATTCTTAAACGATATTTTGCATCTTCAGCAATCGTAAATGGGTCTCCAATGCTGACCGATGCCTGATTGACAGTACACACTTACAGGGTTGGATTGAGGGGGTGGCCACATGGGCCGCGGCCCATGGCGGCAAATTTAGGGGGCGGCAAATTTTGCAATTTTTTTGAATGTAGGTATAAAAAATCTGATTCAGGAAAAAAATCATCAATGACAAAAGGGAACGAAATCTTTCTTTCCTGAAAGTATAGTAATTTCTAATTTTGTCGGTTTTCGGTAATACAAGAAATAGCATATTTAATTAGTTGAGTGAAGAGAGGAACTAATCACGCAATTTGGCCTGGAGCTCAACGCAGAGAGGAATGATGACGAGGACTTGAGATGAAAAAGACAAGCCCACGGCGCGGCGATCGGCATGTAACACATATTAGCGCCTACAAGACTGCATGAATACTTCACACATTGCGCCAAACACAGTGCGGTCAGGAGCGGTTGGCGTGAAACGTATAGCGCCTACAAGACTGCAGGAATACTTCACGCATTGCGCCAATCACAGTGCAATCAGCGCGACGCAGCGGCGGAAGTTAAAATTATTAAACCACATTTATGTTTGTTCTTTCGTTATTTTTTGGTTCATTTCTTATAAATGGAGGGCCTTGTCCACATACAGATAGGTTTACGGAACTTAACTTTTGCGCAAAATTCCGTGAAATGTTGCTAGTAGTGTTGACAGGGCTTTCGCAAAAAATATATCCAACACGAGTAGGTAAACGCGTCTTATGCACCCCTCCCCCTCCGGCACGTTCACTTGATGGTTTTTATTGATGTTTCATAACGAATGAGAAGGGGTCGGGAAAATACAGGCGGCCAATGGGTGGCAAGTAGGTAAATCCGGCCCTGCACACTTAAAATGATTGACACGAGACGATTTTCTAAGTTGAATTTTTAAATGGTGATGACAACCATTGATTTCTCTAACTGATCTTCTTTTTTTTCAGAGCCGTCGCTAAGAGAGCCAATTTCAGCACTATTGCATTCGTTGAAGAACATCAACTTGGTTACCCCGTTGCAGTGAATTTTTATAAAGTTGACTTTAATAAATGATTGAAATAAACCATCTAGTCAAGTTTTCAGATCAGTGTAATTTCTTGAAGCATGTACCATCATTCTTATTTTACTGGTCCTCCTTAAGAATAAAAAATCCAGCACGTTTGACCCCAAACCATTTATCCGCCTTCAATGAGATGTCTTCCAATTTCATAAGTGGGGCCGAGTATAAAATACTGCTAGCTCGGTACGGTACAGCAGTGTGCGGTACAGTAAAAAGTACGGTAATTTGGACAAGGAATGCTGCCGCAGAATGCACTACCATCGACGACTACCCAAGAGCATGGCAACTAAGCAACGGAATTGCCTCCAGAATTTCATCGTGTCCATCTACTCTTTTCAATGTTTTCGGAGTAAATTACAAGTGTTTTATTCATTTGGGCCTATAGAAAAAGGTAATATCTATTCTGATAGAGGGTTCTGGTTGAGCCGATGAACCCGTCGACGGCTCGAAATTTAAAAGTTTATAAGGGCTTCAATTTAAAACGAGACGACTGTCCACCTGTAAAAGTGAATTAAATGATTTAATTCATGCATAGCCTCCAAGATTCTTGTTATTCAATTCTTGGACGCTGCAAAAACATAAAATCACACATTTTTTTCGCTGTCAATTTGTTGAGCCCAGACCTTAGGAGAACTGTTTTCCGGTAAAAATATCATACCATGAAAATATATTCTCTGACCCGAAAAATCGACTGTATGAATAATCCTAAATCATCCTGTGAATTTTTGAAGAAGGTGAATATTGGAATGAAAAGTGTCCGGCAAAATGAGCCGTCAATAAATTACGTAAGGCACCCGGGGAAAGGGGATCAAGATGAGCCTTACGGATGTCTAACGGTGGAAGAAGAGGCTAGCTCACTGTCTTAGGTTAGGTAGAATGTCTGCTAAAAAGAGAAAAAAAATTAAATTTGACAATGAATTTCTCCTGGAAATTTTTCAATTTCTCTCTCTCTCTCTTTCTCTTTCTTCTCCTCCCTCTCCCCCTTTTTCTAATTCATGTTTTTCTTTTTCCTTTTTTAAAGCGCCTGTTTCCGTATACGATTAGTATTCATTGAAATAACTATCCCTGGGATACATTTGATGCTTCAAATAGTTTCGATTAACTCAATACAATTTAGCGTTGCCTAAATTATGAATGCTCCCCCATCGAAGATGCGTGGGTGGGGGGGGAGGGGTTTAGACTAGCCTAGCGTAATTACGTACGGTCTCATATCCCGAAAATATTACACTACATAACGGTCAAAATTTGATCCGAGATTCGAATTCCTCGTTGAATACCACCGGGCAACCATGTAGGTATCATACATCAAAATCTCAAGAGAGGGCGCATGTCTACTGATTCCACAGGAAGATGGACACTCGGCGCGCCCAAAAAAGTGGGTCAAGAGTGGAAGAAACAGATAACGGAGGGATCAAATCTCAGAAACCAAATCAAAGTCCAGGCACTGGCGCTTCCGCAAATTCCTCAGCGATTGCAGCCCGGCGCAAAGGAATTGGAGCTATCACCAGACAGACCGGCGACAGGTGACACGCGCGATGGGCTTTCAATGAAAGGCACATGGAGGGGTTGGGCGTATGGTTCGATATTGCGCCGCAAGGTAGCGTTGATCATCAGATAGTAAACGCAAGTGCATCCCATGGAGCATAGAGTACATACATAGATCCGTAATAGGAATGGAGGAGCTGGCAACAGTTTTAAGCATTTTTCAGTCACCGAATTCCTTCGATTCCTGAGCGGTGACGGGTCACCATTTCGATACATAATCGATTTTTCTCGATAAACGGATACCCGGCCGGTGACAGGCTATCGTATGTAAGCAAAGAGGTTATGAGTTTACATGAATGAAACTCGTCCAATTGGGTCGAAAGTGTGTCGAAGGTGTGACCGAAACTCGTCGACCAGGACCCCGGACCCCAGCTCAATTCACTATATTATGCCTCCATGTACTCCATGGTGCATCCTGCATCATAACTCAGCTTATAATTGGTTGCACTAAACCTCTGAAATTTTTTCTCGGTTACCTATAGTGTGATTCTGTTAATTATGATTCACCCGCCAGAGGTCAGAGACCAAAATTACATTAAAAAGCCGAGAGGAAGATATTAGAATTGAAATTATTCAGATTTTCTTCTTGGCCTCTTGGAGAGGGCGTAATTATTTATAAGAGGGGTCAAGGGGTGGAAGCAAACAGTGGGGAAGGTAGGTCTGAACATAGAAAAAAATGTCTTAAGTAAGTATTTAATTTATGGACGATCCCAAAGGGTGTCCGAAATACCAGTTCTCTTGAGGTCTCCGAAAGGAGGGGTTGCGATTTGAGCCGAAATCGGCCCCTCCGCGGAATCGGATAATTTATGGATATTTAGCAGTTGACGGTGCATATATGATGGAAATAATCGAGTTTTGCCGATACTCACGTTTTATGGCTGCGAAACAGGGGCCTAAACATGGCTCCGTGGCCGAAAATAGCTGAAATTTCACGTTTTTCGCGGTTCTACCTCAGATTTCGACCTGGGCCCAAAGGCGACGGGTGATGAGCTTCGAATATGGTGTCTGGGGCACCTAGACACGTAACACTTTTGAATATGATCAACCGTCGCCTTTAGGCCCAACCTCAAAATCGAACTTTTCCAACTTTTTACCCCGAAATAATTGAAAAGTACCGTTTGTGCAACGTTCTATTCAGGTTCTAGACTGGACCCAGAACTTGAATTCTAATACAGAGAGTGGATTCATATCTTCTTAGTATACTGTCTGTCACAAGTCACTTGAATGACTGCGGGAACTGAGTTTTGTACTATTTCACGTATAGGTTAACTTTTCACCTCCAGATTCCTTGATCGCTTGCTTGAGCTCTCCAGTGCTTGGTAATGTTACCTTTATGAAAAGCTCACTGTAATTAAACAGCACACAAGTTTGTATTTGATGACTATGTCAGGTGAGAGATATCTGATGACAGGAACTTTACGATAGGTTCTTTCTGACTGAATGCAGTTTTCACCGAATGTAACTCTACAGTGCTTATCATGGCCTCAGGAAGTCGGAGAAGTTTGCTTCGTTGGATAGTTGGAAAAGTTCGATTTTGAAGTTGGGCCCAAAGGCGACGGTTGATCATATTCAAGTATATTACGTGTCTAGGTGTCCCGAACACCATATTCGAAGCTCATCACCCGTCGCCTTTGGACCCAGGTCGAAATCCGAAATCATCAAAAACGCGAAATTTCAGCTATTTTCGGCCACGGAGCCATGTTTAGGCCCCTGTTCCGCAGCCAAAAAACTTGAGTATCGGCAAAACTCGATTATTTCCATCATATATGCACCGTCAACTGCCAAATATCCAAAAATTATCCATTTCCGCGGAGGGGCCGATTTCGGCGCAAATCGCAACCCCTCCTTTCACTTTTTACTGCCAAACTATGCGTGACAAATTCTGAGTGAATCGTTGGTCTTGATGCTTGAATACCGAGGGGACAAGCATACCTTCATTACATTTCAAGAATGCAAAAAAGGACCAAGGATCTGAAACGAGAATGAAAACGCTTGCAGTTTGGAAACATTAGGAATAAAAATAAAATAAAATAAAAAATAAAGAAACAGTAAAATTTAAACGTCAATTTGATAATCTCATTTAATAGATGGAAAATAGTGGCTCCATGAAGGAGTATGTATGCCGTCAGTGACACCATCACCATGATTATTCAATAGATTTGATAAAATGTCATCCAACACATAGACATAGACAAACGCTTATGTTATCACGACTGTGTGAGCAACGTGATGGTCCTTCTACCTGAGATCGAACAGCACACGTACACAAATAAAAACTATCAATAAAATAATCGTTTACGATAGACCGTTGTGCAAAACAGAATTAAATTTACAGTAATTTTTGCTGAATGTAAAGTTTTTTCTGATGTTTTCTTGTTAGGTTTTCAAAGCTCATATTGAAAGAGCATTTTCTGTCCTCAGCACGAAATTGACTTTAGCAGCTCAGTGATACCGATTTTTGTGTTCAATTATTGTTCGCTTGCGCGAATCTGTGTGTGTGTTTTTTATTGTTTTTTACTTGTTTTTTTCTCTCATTTTGCACACTCCGATTTGGTGCGTAGGTGTCTAGTCTAATATACTGTAATCGATTGTTAACTTTACGCACAGCCAAAATCAAAATTCTTCAGAACGTTCGAGGATCCTATTCAACGTCTTCATCAACATGCGAATTTCATCACAAATAATGGAGAGACCTAGAAAGGAGCTTTATGAAAAATTGATTTCCAAATCGTTGAAATCAACCATCTGAGCCTTGAGATGAATATCACGAGTGCAAAGCCGATACACACCTCTACTCCACGCAATATTAAGACGATGTTGTTTTCATCATGCAGGACATCAAAAATTTCAAAACGAACCACAATTTTCTATCTTTTATGTATCGTTTCTCTCGGGATTCCGTTCGTATCAGCCGTCACAGTTAAGATCTTCAAAAAACTTAGAAAATATCACGTGGTACCAGACGTAATAAATTTGCCTCCGACTTCAGTGATGACGGTAATATTCCTCATTTTTTTGATTTTACGAAATAAAATGTCTATTATTTTTGGCTCTATTCAGAAAGGATGAATATTTACAGTGAAACTACTAGATTACGTATCTCGTTTGCGGTGTTTAAAAATCTCCGCTTCCATTTTATTATTTTGAGGTAGAACAAATCAATATCATCCCTCAAAATTTTCACTGAGATTTCTTCCCACAAAGAGGAAAAATCACGGATGTTTTCAAAAATTGACGTTTAGTAGTTTTCCATTTAAAAATTAAAGCATGACAGGAAATCTGCAACGTCGCAAACCAAGATACGCGGTTGGGCACTTTCACCGTCCATATGCCATTTATGCCCATATATGCCCTTATGAAGGTACGAGCCTTTATAGATGAGGCAAAAACGCACGTTTATATGGGAGTACAGAGCGGCCACCGCGCCACTCCCGTTGAGTCTGAGGATATTCTGAAATTACAGTTTTACCACAAAAATAACCGAAAATTACTTTCCGGTAATACCTAGTATAAGTATTAAAAATGTGGAGGATCTTCTCGGCTAAATGAAAACCTCCAGCTTTCATTTTTCCAACTTTTAACTCCCCAGTTTCAGCCCACCCACGCGCCGTCACCGCCAGAAAAAGTAGTAGCATGATATAGTTCAATGTGTCCTACTTGCCTGGCATCGTTATCATAACGAGTAATCGAAACGGTTCTTTTCTAGGTCCGATACCCAAATCATGTAATAGTGCAAATAGGAGATTTGTTGAAAGTAGATCAAGTCAAAGCCAAACCGTTCATCTTTTGGCCGGCGAAGCGTAATGGTCTGTACACTTTGATAATGACAGGTGAGAGTCCATTTCATTGAAACATTGAAAACAGCTCCGATCAAAACTAGAATTTTTGGCGTTATTACAAGCCCGAGAATCGACTCTCCTACTGGATGAAATTCTGATCCTTGAGCCTCAAAGCCCATGTTTCTTATTAGATGCACCACAAAGAAATGAATAAACTGAGGACATTTTTTAGCCGTGGTTTTGACCATTTTATTTCAATGTCCTGAAAAATATCTAATCTATCCGGAGATGCGATTGTACTGTAGAGCTTCGGCCACAAAAACGAAATGCACTAAGCAAAAGGGTACAAGCTTTACTCCAGTTAGAAATATGAACCATAAATCGGGAAGAGAGATGTAAACATGTGGACTGCTCTTTTAAATTTTAGTCATCTTTAATGAAAAACCAAAGAATATTCAATTTTTTTTGTAATTTTTGCAAATACTCAATGAAATTCCCTCATCAAATACTAGGTTCCTATAAAATTGGAAGTACCTTTAAAAAGGGCGGAAGTCCAATTTTTCAAAATCTTATATTTGCATTTTTGACCCTCGATTTAGGTGGCATTCGCGTTCCTTCGCGTCTGTCGCTAGGAGCCCAGAAGCAACTACCACTTTTCCCTCTGGTAATGTGGTAAGGGCAACCGGAGTGACCAAAATTGCAAACAAAAACAATTTTGAAAAATGGAATTCTGCCCTTTTTTTAATTGCCGCTTTGAGCTAAAATAGAAAAAATGAGATAATAAAAAATGGAGATGCGAGGATATGCAAGTTTCAAGGCGCAATCAATTTTACACCATTCTTTTGATCTCATAGATGCTGACTATCCTACACCTCTTGCACGAAACAGATCCGAATTTCTTCACTGGATGGTGATAAATATTAACGGTACTCAATTCCGCGTTCCTAATGGGGATGTAAAAGTAGAATACTTGCCACCAATGGTGAACTCAACGGCAGGTAAGAGAGCAATACATTCTGGACTATAGATGATACCAGGGGGCACTCTCCTGGCCGCTATGCGCCCCAACCCCCAGACCAGAGGCCCGCTTAGCGAGGCCTCTTGAGTTTATCTAAATAGAGCGGGTTCATCGAGGGACTTTCTCGTATCAATAGACCCGAAAATTATGAAAATCGGCCCTGTAGGTATGTCTTTAGAACAAACAGTGACCAGACTGAAAATTTACAATGTTGAAATGGGATAATTCACAACTTTATCACGTAGGATACAAAAACCTGGGTCATATTCTCAAATTTTGAATAGAGCAGGCGCATCTGATTTTTGTTTGTCTCCTGATAAACACAAAAATTATTGAAATGGGGCCAGTAGAACTGTGCCAAAAAATGCAAATTTAGGGGGTCAGAGAGTCAATATTAATGATGCGCATGTATAATAAATTATGGGTGATGTATTTGTTTTTATTTTCCTCTTAGAATCTATGTAGGAATGTGGTTCATATGATGCATGCATAAAATTTATTTCACTTTGAGAGCATTTTCCCAGTAAAATTATGTGATGTTTTTGCAGTGAATTTATCCAAAGATACATTACTCCTACGATAAACCCACTCAGCGGTTATTTTTTTATGATTTTCCAGGATATCATCGATACGTCTTCACAGCATTCAGACAAATTGGCAGGGAAATTATAGATGACTTTCCTAACCTCAGCACACTGTAAGTGTATAATTTCAAGCTATTTAACTCTCCTATTTTGGGATGCGTGGCTCGTGGGGACAACAGAGGGTTAAAAAATTGATGGATTTTTTTTATTATCTTCAAGTCATAATTATCTCCATTTTAGCCTCGAAATCCGAAAAAAGTAGGCTTCTATGAATGGCCCCATTCACGCGCGTGTCGCCTGTGCCCTTCAGTTGAAGGAAGTAAGGAGTGCGTAGAAAATGATTATGTCTGGAATAAGATGGAAGTAGTGACACACATTTAAGTATCTTAGAGCGAGTACCTTAAAGCACTGTGGCTATTTACTCGTACAAATACGGAGATGGCATGGAACTTTAAAGGAAGGAAAATAATTATTCAAGAAGAAAAAAATGAATCGATTGATGGATTGATGGATTTATGCTGTCAGCGACGTCTATCTCGCGGTTGTTGGATATCCGCAGCAAATTCATTCACCAGGAATTGTGGTATTCAGAGCATAATGACCGATAAGGGACCCACATTAATATTTTCATCATAACAGTGTGCACTATTCATGTTATTATGTTTTCCCTTATTTTCAGACACCTTGCTGAGCGGGCCGATTTCAACACCCTTGCATTCGTCAAAAAGCATCAGTATGGTTACCCACTTGCAGTGAATTTCTATCAAATTGAATTTAAGTGAAACGTAAATTAATAAAAACCAAGAGTAAGAACTCAAGTTTTTTTTTTTTTTTTTTCCTGAACGAACTTCCGGGATTTTACTCAACTGCAACTTTCGAACCAAAGATTCAAAAAAATGACGATCGCTGCGTCACAAAATTGAGCATTGATACCATAGTTAAACATAGTTACTGCGGATATGCGGACTTTTATTTTATTATAATGATAAAAATTAATAAATTCAGTAGTTAGCAATTGCAATAAAGATATATATAAAAAGACAATAAAAGAGTTTAAACACCAAAACTCGGAAATTCTTAATAATAAGATCAAGAAAATAGGAAATCAGTTAAGGTTTAAATTAAAAAAAAATCTATAGGGATCATAAATCTCGAAAAGCCTAGAAATCATAAAAATAGAAAAATATTATGTTAGCCAACCTAATTTTATTATTTATGTTAGTAAACAATAATTCATTTTTATTCAACATATTCAACATATTGACGGTGGTGTAATTTCGCAACCACATATCGCGGTTTGTGACGTCGCAGACTTCCTGTCAAACTTTATTTTTTAAACGAAAAACTACTCAACGGCAATTCTTTAAAACTGCCTTGATTTTTCTTATCTGCCCGAAGAAATTTCTGCGAAAACTTCAAGGAATGATATCAATTTGTCCTCTTTTAAAAAAAAATATAGATGCGGAGACTTTCAAACACCGCAAACGAGATACTTGGTTGCGGACTTACGCCGTCGATATATGTACATTCAGCAAACTGGCAACACTGTTCTTCTCCATTTAAACCTATGTTAAATAATCGATTCTTGTCGGGGCACCTGGCCCCTCCAAGAATCGATTATTTAACATAGGTTTAAATGGAGGGAATCCGTTGTTGCCAAATTGCTGGATCCGCCTCTGTATATATAGAAGTCTGTCAGGGTGTTATTGTGCGAGTAACTCCATAATTTGGTCTCAACACAGCATATAGATGCGAAACTTTCTATTTTCGCGATGTCTTCAGAAATCAACTTTGATCAAAGAGAGCGACATGTTAATCGTCCACACAATATGAAATGATCTACCTCTAGAAATCTGCATAACTCACCTTGTTAAGATAGAATCTCTGCTCATATTCAAGTTTTCTAGGCAATCCTGTCCTTCACGATGAAAAGATTCGAAGTCACTTGAAACGGTGCAGTTTGTTGTCGAATTACGAAAATGGTGAGATGTTAACTGAGATCGGTCAGATACTTAAAATTGTCACATAATTTCATTCTTAACGCAAAGGTGAAAAACACAAGACTGAATCAAGTTTGTGATCACTGCTTTATCAGGGACTTTCTATCGTTATCACAGGTACATTTGGATAAAATATGCAGTTCTCTTGAAAAAACAAAAGAAGAAAACAATTGAATAGATAAGCTGTGGACAAATAAACAACATTTAGTCTACTTTCGCTATTCACTCGGCTATGTTTTATCTGTAGAACTACTCTCTCTATTTAAGTTCTGAAGTGGGGCAATCCCAAAGTAGAACGGTGTTACAAATTTAGTGGGCGATCAACTGAAAATATTAGTCACAGATAGATAATGATTACGACCTGATTGACCCGTTAGCTTGAGCACACACCTACTTCAGACTGCTGCAGAGTACATATTCGAACACTCAAAGTTTTGTTGGCCTCAATTAGTTTATTCTTAAAGAAGTTACTTTATTTATAAAATTGAATAAACTCTCTAAGAGAGAAAAAGAATAAGAAAAAAAAAACTGATTGGAGGTAACAGTATGTATGCTGCCGTACTAAGGAGGAACGCCGTATGAGCCTTCAGGCGTTGCCAGGTTTCCTCCGATAAAAATCGAAATTACTGGGAAATTTGTGACTATTTTTTTCCAAAATTTTTGGACGATTTATTACGCAATTTAATCTAAAATATCTGAAAGTTTCAAGGGAAAATATCCATGAATGTTGTCAAAAATACATGTTTTATCGAGGGAAATTTGGCAACTCTCGCATGTTTATACGGCGTTCTTCCTTAGCACGGCAGTATGAACCGGGTAATCTCCTGTCAAGTGTCAACAAAGCTTGGAAGTAGTTAAAGAAGTTTTCACTTTATGAGAGGGGGTGAACAACTAATTGAACATTGACATTATATTTTTTTTTCTTGTGCGTGTCGCAAGACGTGGTTTCAAATTTCCGAAGGACCGCTCGGATCCAAAGATGCAAGTCTTGTTTCGTACTTCATTGTTACTGTTTTGATGGCTAGCAAGGTGTTGTGTAGTCTTAAAAGTTTTCACAACACCAACAATTCACTTGCGGAGCACCCCAAAAAATTAAATGAAAAGCAAGTTTGTTTATCTATTCAAAATTCCCACGCTCTCTGAAAATCCATTTAAAGTATGGCTCATGGTATGTTTCTTGTATCGAAGAACCAACAAGGCTCAATTATTCAAGTTAGGTATTTGTATTCTACACCATAAATGTGCAAACTAGAATTTTTAACTTGAGATTTTCCGATGGAACCTTTCTTTTTTATGTTTTGCCGTTTCTCGAGCCTTTTCGTCGGACCCCACCCACTTTGGCTGTGCGAAAAAGGATCTAATGGATGATTTCACGATAGGTAATAGGAACAGCTTAATTTTTCAACTAACACCTTAAAGATCACCATGCAATTTTCGTACCATAGAATTAGTGCCACTCATCTCAAAATCACTAATTTTCCGCAATAATTGTGTTTTTTTTTTTTTTGCCACTCGGTGACTTAACGGTACCTAACTGCTCGCTCAAATATACCTGAGAGCACGGTTTGATAAAGTTTTTAAAGTGTCGTAGACAAACTGTGCTATCGACACACCCATGAAATGCCTCTTTTTTTTCGCTGAAATCAACATTTCGGTTCAACATTGCAATTTTTTGTGAATGTGAGAGATCCCTCCCGGAAAATACCGTCGGAGTATTCACGATCATCGCTAGTTTATCACGGAGATTACTCATTTGCTTCAAAGTCACAGCTAGCGACGCGTATGACCCACCAGACATTTCGGTCTTCACTGAAAAAAAAATATCGGTGTATTTACTAAGAAAAGGGTAAATTTACCAATAATTCAGGGTTCTATTTGATACCAGTTTTTTCTTGGTAAAATTTCCATTTATGGAATTGGTAATTTTACCGAGAAAACTAGGTAAAATTATTGAACTTTCTCGGTAATTTTACTGGACTTTGGTAAAAACACCAATACTTTTCATCGACTGTCGTAGAATTACCGAGATAAAATGGCAAAGTTACCGGGAATTGATTACCAATAAAAGTGGTATTCTTACCTGAAAAAAACAGTAAAAATACCGGTTTTTAGGTAAGCTTACCAGTCTGTCTTAGTAAAATTACCAATAATTGGTAAAAAAAGTGAGATGGTAAAGGTACCAACGGACCTTGGTAAAAACGCCGAGAATTTTTTTTCAGTTTTTAAACCTCATATTTTTAAGTAAAACTATATTTTCACATATTTTTTTTTTTTTTTTTGCATGTACAAGTTCAAAGTCATCGTTTTTTCCTATTCATTTTTACATCACTCCCCGATCATTTTGCCCTATTTCGTTCATACCACGACAACCACGACTATTCTTGTTATTGTGAAATCGCTCAAATACATATTACGCAGCCGTAGCGTATCGCATCGCGGACCAGATCGCCTTCAATCCATCAATAGGCAAAATGCGCGTCCCCGGAGCAGATTCAGTTCCATTAAGGCGTTTTATCAACGTTGCGTCGTCTGAGATACTAGCTGCAGATGCCGTGCGAGCTTACAGTTGAAAAGCATACTCAATATTTCTTCCCTCCTATTCCGTTTCATTTTATTTTTTTAATTTCTAGAGTTTGTGCGCAAAATTGTTTACAATAAATAAAATATCAATAATTTTGGATGGAGTTTTTTTCTACCTCTAAAATGATCTACCTCCATGGTGTATGTAAGAAATTTTTAATTTTACAAACGTATTTTCTATCGTTGAAAAAGAGGGTATAAGATCAAAAATTTGGATAATCAAAACATACATTTAAAAGTCACTTTAGAAAATAGGAAACACCTAACTGGTAGGAACGTATATTTATTCAATCATCGAACATAAAGTCTATCCTATAATTATAGCCTCGAGCACTATTAATTTTCTCTTGAAGAAAGTCAATTCCATGGGCGAAAATTTGAATGAAAAACAAACTATGGAAAAGATAAAACTGTAACAGAAATCAATAATAAATTAATCAATCTAAGTTTGTAGGTATATTGGAAACATAATAGCTCATTCATAGAAAGCAAGAAATTATTGATATAATTAACGCTCGTGATGAATTGTATCACAGAAGATTATGATAACCAAAAAGCAAACTAATATACTCAGTAGATATTATCAGTCAGATATTTTTTAAGCATCATGAAAGACGAGTCGAACAAAAATCAAAACAGCGAAATGGCAGGAATAAGGAACCGAGTAACATTTTAAAACAAGAATTCGAGTTGAATCAGTGAGAACGGAAACACACCAACTCGGGAAAATGAAAGTAATCAAGACACACACAAAACTGCACAGTCGATGTAGAAATCAGTCAAAGAAAAATATTTCTGCTGCCGAAATATAAGCACATTTTAAGGACATTTTAAAGGTCCAAAATGAAACAATTGCGCTAACTTCAATGACCTTCATAGAGATTGACCGTCTTTGATGAAAATTGAGCATTTTAGAGTTACCGAGTTGGTGTGTTTTCGATCTCGCTGATTCAGTCAAGGGCAACTTTTAACTCGACTAAAATATATTTACAGCTTCCTCCAATTGGACGTATTTCTATCAAACGGTACTATGTGCATTAAGACATGAGCCCTGCGCTCCATGAGAATAAATGGACCGCGTTAAACAGAGAGGAACCAAGCCACATCAGCTATTGCCAAATTTAACAGGGGAATTTAATTTTTTACGAGACAGGGTTTGTGCGGACTCCTTCGACAATTTTAAGGAATTTGCTTTGAATTGTGGAGAAAATTCATAGAAATTTGCACAAAAATCCGCACAACCGTTTTCATGTAAAAAATCAAATTGCCCGATTAAATTTGGCAATGGCTGATGCGGCTTGGTTCCTTTCTGTTTAACGCGGTCCAAATGTACACCGAAAAAAGAGTGAAGTTGATTTAACATTTTGGATGTAAAAAAAATGTGCGAGAACTTGTAAATTGCTAAATTACCCACCACAGTAGTTAGATTTACATCCTGGTTTTGCTAGAGTAACTGCTGTCGCAGCGGGTAATTCAGCATTTTTTAAGTTCTCGCACACTATTTTCGCATCCAGAATGTTAAATCAACTTCATTTTTTTTTTTCGGTGTATAACAGAGCTCACGGTTCTTTTTAGCAGAAATCTGTCCAATTAAAAAATGGTCACAAAAAATGTGCGCGGCAAGACTATGAAGAAAGCGCGACTCTTGAGCGTCATTCACAGCTTCCCATAAAACGTCATCCTTGCAGATTCCGTCAAAGCCACACCCGGCCTGGTATTATACGCCAGCACCGCGATCATACGAGTGACATCCCCCCGGGTCGGCGTCACCCGATGCAAGAAGTCTCGACCGCGGAAGAGCACTAAATCCCCCTCCTCGATGTTCAGCGTATCCACCGGATGCCGATCGTCCAATACAGCTCCAACACCATCGTAGTCCGTCATACCAGTTTCGGAATTCCGCAAATCTCGCACGAACTGGAACTCGCCACCAGCACGCGGCCTCTGCACCAGGAAGGTGATGGCGAAGGAAGCGTTGTCGAAATGCCAGCCCAGTTCCTGACCTTCGGCCGCGTAGTGGAAGGTGATCGAAGAGTACGGATCAGCGAACGAGTAGAGATTCGCCTCGCCCAGTACGTCACAGAGGAAGCTCTTGAAAAGGGTATCGTTGTGGAGCTGACGTAATGGTGAGTCGGCGGGTAACTGATCGTGTGTGATGCAGCTTTTGGTGCTGGGTATCTCGCGATTTCTGGGATGGTCGTCGTTGTACGCGTCGTCAGGTTCCAGGAGGTAGACGTTGTGTCTGCTGTCGGCGCGGTATGCCAAGGGGTGTAGAGCATTGCCGTCGTCGATGATGGTTTGGAGAACTTTTGGTTTCAAAAATTTGTGTAAAACCAGCACTCCGTTGTGGTTAAGCTCTTTGCGGCAACGGCTCCGCCAGTTAGCATCGGCTAATGGATGTTGATCCAGACGAATCAGATTGGACATTTTTACCGACTGGAATAGTGAACTTGGATGATAGCGGGTCTGTGCCACGTGCTGTATTAAAACTATTTTCTGCTCTCAGAGATTTGATGCCGTGTACTTTCTACGTGTAACTCATATTTTCCTGCCACAAATCGAATGGGAATCGATCTTATTTGCAAGGTTTACGCATATTGTAAAAAAAGCGGTGCGCAGAGAAGTCCATTCAAAACTGAAATATTCACGTTCTTGTGCGTAGGAGCATGCGAAATAAGCGATGGTATACAAAATTAATGAATTACAAACAAAAACAGATTTATCACAAGTCAATATTTTAAGTGAACAAATTCCCTCACAGTAAGCACCAGGACGTTTTCACACGTTTCCATGAACACCTGGAAAAACAAGAGAAGCATACCTTAGAGATACAACAATTCATAAAAGGTGAGATTGTTAAAATAATTTCTAAATTAGGACGGAATTTTTGTCTTTCCATCACCTAATCTTAAGGTTTTTCTCTCATTGGGTCGTGAAATTCAGGAGTTCAACTTTTCACTTGCAATCGTCTCCGTTGAAGAGAAGATAAAGTTATCATCTTTAACTCTCCACCCACTCTTTTGATAAGAACGGGGGAAATGTATTGCTAGACACATGTCAGACGGGTAAAGCAGACTGTAACTTTCATTTACTTGCAAAAAATTATCAAAAAGTATTTAAACCGTCTGGCAAAACTTGACTTGATGCACAAATCCACAAAGGCTATCAAAGGGCTCGGCGTGCGGGATCAATCGCAGATAATCTTTTATGAAAGTTTCCAGTCTCATTCATTCAACGATTTAATCTTTATCAGTGAGTGAGAGGGAATTGTATACAAAAAGAGAATTGAAAAAAAACAAAAATCCAGAAGGCTCCACCCTAGAAATTATACGTTTGTTTACCTACCATTTTTTCTTGCGGTTCATCGCTGTGTCACTGACCAGCAATGTTATATGATACAGTAATCAAACAGAACATAATATGTAAGCACCATGGGATATGACCCTTGCCCTCGCAATTCGTTGCCATGAGGACTCAGTAAGACGAGGTCTAAGGCACGCTCAGAGACAAGAGACCCTCCACTAGTATCTTGGTCATGGTGGAAGCTTTTACTTTCGGGACTTCAGCATTCTGCTGTTGACTTACCTACATGGTTGATGTTTAACAACGTGTTGGCAGTTTCGTTTCGCAAACAAGCCGAAAATGGCCGAAGTTTAGGAAACTTGTTTGGCTCATGGCGTCACCCGAAGCTCATCATCGACCATGTAGGTAAGTCAACAGCCGAAAATAGGGTGATGACTGTTGCTCCCTAATAATTGTCCATAAGGAATTGTTGAAACCCCGAAAGTAAAAGCTTCCACCTGTCGCTAGGAGGCCAGCGAGTCGATTGTTGAATCGTTATCGAATGACCTTGATCGATATATTGCATTGTGAAGATAGGGAGTTATCGATCAAACTAATTCGATAACGATTCAACAATCGAGGCGCAGTGGAGGGTCTCTTGTCTCTGGGCACGCTTGACCTCCAATGTATTCTGGTCAGCCGACCGATACCCCTTGAAAACGTGACGCGTGCCCTATCAACGTGAGGAAACGTATAGGGGATACGCCCCCTAGCTGCTGCGTGTCCCGACTCCGCAGTGCACTTCGCGGGCTCTCTTAAGTTAATCTGAATAAGGCAGCCTCATGCATGTGAGGATCATCTCCTATCAGTGCTGCGCAAAGACGGTGTAAATCGACCCGGTTGTCTGGTAGATCTTTAGAACCAACTTGGAAAAGGAATGAACATTACATTGTTCGCAGGGAAAATTCACTACTTCATCACGCTGCATAAAAAACAGGGTCACGTTTGAGGAGCTTGCCGGAAAAAGGGCACATAGCAAAAAATCGCGTGTGAGGAAAATGCATTATAAGTTTCCATCATTACTTTTTGGCCACTGATGGTAACTTTCATCGCAGCTTGGACTCCCAATCTAGAACGTAAGTCACAGTCAGTGGCCATAGAATAATGATAGAAACTTCAAATGCATTATTTTCAAACGCGAGGTTTTGCTTTGTGCCCTTTTTCCGGAAAGCTCCTCAATTTCCAAAATCTAAATAAAATGAGTTTAGTCTGCGGACTATCGCCAGTCTACAGCCCCAAAAAGCATTACAATATGCCCAGTTAAACGGCAACGGTAGATCAAACTGTGATAAAAAATGAAAATTTAAAGGGTCAAAATGCGTTAAATATTGATTGTGAAGAATGCGCACGTAGAAATTACGATTTTTGACCGTCGTGTTGAAAAATATTAGGGTACGTTGATGATGAAGATCTACGAATTTTTACCCACATTAAAAGGGGGTGGGTTTATATGAAACCCCGAGAGGCTTTGCGAGAATAATTTGTACGTATCGAAGGGGATCACATAAATTTTGCCTCGAGAGGCCTTCACGAGACTTTTTTGGAGAGATTATAGGAGACAATCGCCTCCTATCCCTCAAGCTAGTCCACCCCCAAACTCGATCCATATATCATATATCGTTGGTATAAGTTGGCAATCACATAACTCGGTTTCCGACGTCGCAGACTTCCTGCCATACTTTATTTTTTAAACGGAAAACTATTCAACGGCAATTTTTTAAAACTATGCCGTAATTTTTCTTCTCCGTGCGAAGAAAATTCTGCAAAAACTTTAAGGCATGATGTCAATTTGTTCTCCTTAAATAAATAACATTGAGGCGGAGATTTTCAGACATCCCAAACGGGATATGTGATTGTGGACTTACGCCGTTGATATGCTACCTTGTACTTGGCTCCGACCCTCAGGAAATTACGAATTCATGGGAAGAACATGAGGTTAAATTAAGTGATAAATTCGAAATAAACTCGTGACGCCTTATTTTGGTACCGAATAAAAATTCCACCGCTGTAGTGCTGTACTGTAACCCTTGAAATTTCTAAAAATTGTAAAATACTTGCAGGTTAGAATGGTCTCAGGTTTGAGGTCTCAGGACGGTTATAGTATAACTATACTTTTGACTCGTGAAAAATGTCAGTAACACTTCAAAGTTCCTAAACGTTCTTTTAAGTCTACTAAACAATGCCAGTGCAAACAGCTGCGAAAACTGTGTTTTTTCGGGCCATTGTAACGTTTCAAACCGTGCAGTGCCGCAAATTAAAGTGTTTTTCTACCTAGTGCAGGACGAATGTAATATTCCCGCAATGGGCGGTTTTAGGGACACCCAAAAGCTAAAAAGGGATGTAGGTAAAAGACTCACTATAAATTTTGAAAATGCAAAGTCTCTCAAATGGTTTAAAGTATATTCCGTACTTGTAGCTTCAGTTTCTGTCTCATAACCACTGCTCTTTAAAAATTATATAAGTAATGGAAGACAAATTCACAAGTTCTTTCATTTTCTTGGTCAGTGACTCTCCCTACATTCTTATAATTTAATGATCGCGTTTCAGTAACTCTATAAAAATTATCTCCTCGACGTTTCTAAAACACTATTCACTTTACCTGTTATCAATGATTGAACCAATGAGTTCATCAGAATAAATCAATCTCAGACGACAAATAAAAACAAGCACCTAGGGATTACCGACTCAAATTTAAAAATTCGTAATTCATAAAAGCGGATACTTTTCAATTGCGATTTTACTAGTTTGAGTGATAAAATATTACCTACTTATAGATTTTGAATGGAGTCTCAAGAAATACGCATGATGCCTGAGAAATTGTGAGTAAAGCACGGCATCAGGGATGCTATTTATCAATAGGTTCACGAATTTGTTTATCGGTTCAATTAAAGCCCATGGATACATGTGTGTGTTTCATCGAATGAATAACTATTCGCGCTCCCTGGTGTGTTTGTTGCCTATCCGAGGAAATTGAAGGCGAACCTTAAGTATCTGATATCCGCCATTAAGTTTCTGCGTCGTCTATTGGGTCTCTCAAAGTTTATGCGAAGCGAGATTAATGTGCGTGTATTTCGAAGAGATTCACGCTCCGCGGGAAAGTATGTCACTCATGAAGCAAAAAATTAACAACTTTGGAAGGTAGGTACAAAAAAAGAACGTAAAATTTAGAGGATTACATTGAAGCATGCAGCCAAAAAGGATACGTAGCAAAAGAGGAGAGGAGATAGAAATAGGATGGAAACAAACGAAAGAAGAGGGGGGCACATTTTTTTCTTGTTTCTATGTTAGTTTGTTAAGGAAGAAAGAATGAACAAAAAACTGAATCCCGATACCTTACAGAATCTGAAAGTGTTCATTATTTAGTTAAACCCCGTATCTTAAATCTCTCGGGAAAAACTTTTAGGTCAACCTTTATTTCTTCCTAAATTAAAACTTTTTTTTACCTTTTTTGAAACAACTTTGACAGTATCTAAATTTTTTAAACGCCATCACTCGCTTATTTCGTTCCTCTTTCAGATACTTAGTCCTGTTGTCAAGTATCAAAATCCTCCTCTCCTCCGGAGATTTGAAAAATTAGATATCACCAATTTTGATGGGACAAGGCCCTTTTTCCATATCGCATCGCGCACGTACCTACAATATGCGCCGATAAAAAAAAATCCAATGAATTGCACGAATCCGAAGACGGAAGAGAAATTAATATGGGTAAAAGGAAAAAGCAGAGTTGTTTCTCTCACACGCTCGCATCACATAGAGGTGCGTAAAAAAATAATGAATAGTTATGTATCTTGTTATAGAATTTCACAATGGAGACAATGGAATAAAAGAGGAAGGATGGTGAAATAATTTTGAGAGGAAACACCACAAAGCTTTAATCTACATACTTCACCTACCTACGACAAAAAACGATACTTACAAGATGCAAGGTGCGAAACCGGCAGCAGACACAAAACGTTTCACAGGCGAAGAATCAAGAATGGAATTCATTCGGATGATCCAAAAGCGAGCCGATCGTTAGCTTCTTACTGCCGTCCTTACACGTGCAAAGTGGGAGCCAAAATAATGAGCCCCGGCGCCCTCAGCAATGATGCAGACTGACTGAAAACTGAAAGCAGTTGCAACTAAAATACTGAATCTGTAGTTCCTGGATGATTATCTCTCCTTCCCTTTCGTTCGCTGAGGAGCATCGCAGAGAGGCTGTATTATCCGCACAAAAAGATGACTCNGGGGGGGGGGGGGGGAGCTTAAATTGTTCGCGTTCAGCAGAAAGGAACCAAGCCACGTCAGCTATAGCCAAATTTAACTTGGAAATTTAATTTTTCACAAGAGACAGTTTGTTCGGATTCCTTTGAAAATGTTAAACAATTTGCTTCGTGCTGTGCAGCAAATTCACTGTTTGTACGACAATCTGCACAATCGTTTTCATGTATAAAATTAAAGTGCCCGATTAAATTTGACAATAGCTGATGTAGCTTGGTTTTTTTATGCTTGACCCGGTCCAAATTTGCATTTCATTAAATATGCAAAATTCATCGGTCTTCCATTTGCGACTAAAGTCACATATTTAATTGGGGGAACCATTATTCAATATGACAAAAATGACGCTCATTGAAATTCGCCACTGAGAGAGCTCGTGCCCTTGTCGTACCTATAGCCGGACATGCTGCTGTAACCATTATAAGGATAACTTAATCAGCGTGGCTTCCAGGCAGGAAACAGATGAGTCCAGACGTGGCTAAAAGATTAGCACCCATGCAGAGATAATCCGTGATCTCTCCCAGAAAATTGAGCAAACTAACGATCGCTACTTCAGTTTCAGCTGAAAAATGTGCAAAGTTAAGTCTTAGAGTTGCTCTCAATAAACACATATCGTCAAGTTTTGGCCAAAGTATCACAAGCGCCATGTGACGTTTAAAAATTCCCTCCGCCATTTTATTTTTCTCTACAAAAATTGTTAAATGAGGCTGTCCGAAAATTTCACTGAATTTTCTTTGTGCTGCTGATGAAATTCAGTGAAATTTTCAAACGTACTCCACCAACAATTTCTCTGTAAAAAAATAAAATGGTGGCGGAAACTTTTTAACATCGCATGACGCTTATAATACTTTGGCCGGAATGTGACGATATCGTGTTATGTATTTTGCACATATTTGGATTTATAATGAGGAGAAAATAGCAAAATTGAGGGGTATCGACACAGGCCGTTTTTGGGTCCACGTTTAATTTCTTCAACTCTACGATTTTTTGCTCATTGGAGGTTGCGGAATAAATCATGGTTTGATCATTTTTGGTGTCTTGTTGGTCAAGTCAAATGTCTCTGAATCCATAAAATCGACATTAAACCCATTTTCAGGCAAATTATTAGACAAACTAAGTGACCAGAAATGACCGAATCATGTTATTTGAGGGGGGGGGGGCTGTTTCTTACCCATGATGGTGTCAGAAAATCAGAAATGAGTTCAAATTATGATGCTGTTTGTAAAATATAAAATTTCATAATGAGCTAAAATCACAGAGTTGCGGAAATTCAGCTGGGGTACCTCCTAGGCCCAAAAACGGCCCTTGTAGATAACCCTCCTCTCCGCCACTCCATTTTTTAAAATGACCACGCATTATCTCTGAGTGTGAACCTCTGTCAAATTATACAAGTCGACGGTGAAAATCCTACACCTCTTATCTCGTTTGCGGTGTTTAAACATTTTCACTCCTGTTATATATCTTTAAGGAAGAACATAAATAAGCTTGATTCCTTGAAGTTTTTTTTCAGAATTTACCTCGCGCAGAGAAGATAAATCACGGAAGTTTTCAAGAATTAACTTTGATTACCAAGCTCTCCACTCAAAAAATAAAGTATTACAGTAAGTCTGTAACATCGCAAACCGAGATACGTTGTTTGGGGTTACACCGTCGATTTCCGTCACGGAAGTAAAGCGGTGCGTCCTGGAGGGCCAAAACGCCTGCAACTCCGTGCGTATGCAACACAGACATCCGTGGAGTTCGAATAGTTGCATCAAGGCGTTACAATGGAATTGAATTCTTATACTGTTTGTAGCAAGTAGGTAATACTGACTGACGACGCTTTGCTGTTTCTTTTACATCTTGACTTAATTTCAGCTTCCCCTATTGTGCGTAAAAAGCACACTATCACTAATTTTTAGCACGACATTGTCAATTTTCCGAAAGATGACTTTTGCGATCGGTACGCCGTATTACGATGTTGGCGGAAACAGCAATAATTGCACAATTATGAAGCAAAATAAAGGCGCATGAATGAAATAAGTGTTTTTGGCACTAAGCCGGAGATACGTGTTAACACATTCCGTCGTTTTTCAAGCAACTTACCGATGTTTACCGGCCGTAATCTTTCAAAGGCAGATAAAACAGATCCTCAACTACACATGCATTTATGCAGCTAACTCAATATCGACGTAGAATTTTCTCTTCTTTTGACTTGGTTTTAGTCCGTTACTTTTTCTACTTTTCTCGGTTACCAAGTTCCTACTAAGGTAAAGAGTCATTATGAATTCACCAAACTCTAGAGCTAGTCACTAGCTATATCTAAAGATTTGCGGTGGAACTGTTATACCAGTTTTTCCTACTGACTCAGTTTTAGTTCATTATTTTTTTCTTATATTTATCTTGTTATTACATTCCCAGCATCAAGTAGAGAACCTTCGTGGATTCACCAAATTCTAGAGATAATTCCCAGTTGTATTTGAAGATATGCGTTGGAACTGGAAGTCCATTTTTTCTTCATTAGATTTGGTTCTCTATTTTTCTCGTTTTATCTTGCTACCACGTTCCTCTAAGGTAAGAAGTATTCTGAATTTTATCAAATTCAGAAGCGATTTCTAGTTGTATATGAAGATTTGCGGTGCGACTATATGCAGTCACTTTTCGCGTATTTTTTCCTCTTTTTTTCTTCACTGTTCTTACTTCTTTTACAATTCATTACATTGTTAGATAAGTTTATTTTGTTCACTTTTGATCATTCCTTGTTTCAAGGTTCGAAAAACTGCTGAGCGGATAAAAAGAATTTAGTTACTGTGACAAAGTTTCTAAACTAATATTAGTCAATTTTTCTATTTACATGATTATTTGTAGCCTTGAAGCCCTCAAAGTAATATATTATGACTGTTTCTTTCAAAACATGTGTATGAGTGAGTATTCTAGTCGGTCCTACCCAAAATGCGAAAAAATTCCCAAAAAACCTAAAAATTATCCTTGATTATCGGGTTGTACAAATAATGGTGGGTGAAAAACAGTGCAAATTACATAACCTGAACATTACAGGATAGGTATTTTTGGGGAGAAAAAACTCAAAATGTAGGCCCTAACTATCATTTGAATTTTTGGTTACCAAAAATAAGTTCGGAAAAAAAGAAATAAAACACAACAAACACATTTATTTCAAATACGGGTCAAAATGACCCGCAATTGGCAAACTTGTAACAAAAATACGTTCAGCAGACTAGGGTTAAAAAATAAAGCAGCAGCGGAAATTTTGAAACGCCGCAATCGAGGTACGTGGTTCTGTACATTCACCATATCGATTTGTCTTGATGGCCGAAGGGTCGTACGATTCAAACGTGAAATCACCGTCGCTTTTTTGACACAACGTCCCAGCTCTTATCCTGCTGACTGCTTTGTCTAACCCTGTCGACCGCTTGATCCCTGCTGATTCCGATTTTCCAATGGATACATAGTCTTAAGTAATGGCTTAACTCCCGGCCCTCCGGGTTGAACCACAATTCTGACTGACTCACCATTGAGCTTTGCGTCAAGAACATAATTTCCATTTGACTCGTCTCGTTTCCATGAACCAAGATTTTGACCATATTTATTGATAATAAAACTGTAAAAATCAGTGTAAAAAATTCTGAAGTATTGCAACCAAAAAGTGCCTCTCTCGCACTCTGCACCTCAGTTAAGTGATCCCATAATGCTCATCCGAAACCATTGATCGCAGCTCCGCTCGGAATAGCTTCAAAATTGTATCTTTGACCTATATTAATGCGCGAGGGGCCATAATGTAGGTCATCGCGCTGGTTTCCTTGCGAGTGACTTTTGAATCCTTGAGTATACGGTCCAGGTATAACGGGTGATCCCCATATTTTATCGTTTAAAAGAGTTCCTGGACACGAAGGTCCGTATCCTGGTGGCGCTGCACTCACGACTGCCACCTCGCTAGCCAGTGTAATGGCAATGACAATAGCCAAAGCAGTCACGGCTATTCCAGCACCACCCAGACCATGGCCCGGCCAGGCCTGCCAGTTCATGTGCCTCTTCGAATCCATAAGGTTGCCAAGACCCCACCTTGATCACGAGAACAGGAGTTGAATCACCTCAAATAGACAGACGTCCCTCGGCTTTTTTGGTGCCTGGAAAAATACAGATGGATAAAATTAAGTAACAGGCTGGCATCCCAATTCCATAAAAACCGTCATGTAAAATTACGTGTCCCCCTACAATTTTAATTTCAAATCATACATTTTGCGCAAGAAAGAAAAACAAATTTTAGAACAGTGGAACTAAAAATTGAATCGGACAATGAGTCCCTCAGGATAACAATGGTAAAATGCCCCTGTTCCTGGATTCTGATTTTCACAAAAAAAAAAAAACTTGTTAGGGGGGTCCTAAAGTTAAGATTTCTCGGCCAAAAAAATTTCTACCCCCATCCCCCGGGGCCCCAAAACCCGTTTTTGGAGGGTTTATACGGCATATTTTCATGTAAAAATCTATATCTACCGTTTTTGTGGATAAAAATGCACGAAAATTACCCTGAGTTTTCTTCAAGTAGTCTAGTTTCTCTGAAACAAAGTTTAAAGTCATAAGTTCTTATTTTGACATCGAAAAAAATTCTCTAAATCCTCCAAGTCTGAATTTTACCTCAATTCTTGAGTATATATTTTGTGTGAGGGTGAGTGTGTGTATATATAAATATACAAAATTTACGAGTACTTTTCAATCTTTTTAATTACATTTTGCAATATTTTTACACTATATTTTACAAGCCGACGTTTCGGAGACAAATTCGCTCCATCCTCAGGGCAGACAGGTTATGGT